TTTAAGAACTATATGGGAGCTCTGGTGGTACAGTGGTTAAAGCATGTGGCTGCTAACCAAAAGGTCAGTTGTTCAAACCCATCATCTACCCTCCAGAAAAAGATGAGGCAATTTGCTTCTGTAAAGATTTACAGCCTTGGAAACCCTATGGGGGCAATTCTACTCTGTCCTGTGGAGTTGCTATGAGTCAGAATTGACTTGATGGCAGTGGTTGGATTTGGGATGAAATTGATGTTAGAAACTGGAAGGATTAGATAAGAATCTTAGGGGGCAGTAAATTTATGCAAATGATCTCACCCTCAAAAAAGTAGGGTGAGAATGGTTACACAACTCAAAGAATATAATCGGTGCCACTAAATGGTACATGTATATAGATGCAAAGATTCTCAATAAAATACTAGCAATCTGAATCTAAAAATAAAATTTTGACTCCTATTTACAAATTTAATAACTTCCAAGAATGTCAATTTTTACAATATTATCCTTATATTGGGTGGAGTGGTCACAACTTAGTGGACTTCTCTGCATTATAAAGTCTTTAACCATTAGAAACTTGCTAAAAAGATTTTTCTTTTCTCAATTTTGTACATTAGGTGGAGACGATCCTTTCTAGTGAGCCTGTTTTTCTGTATTCCTGTAATGGGGCTAATGATATATATGATGGTTATGGACCACCATCTTGCATCTCTTCATCATAATCAGAACATGAGCCAGGAAGAAATGATCAACATTCATTCTTCTATGTTCTTGGAGCACCAGATTCTGCCAGGATTGTCCATTATGAATTTGCTATCCTTTTTATTGTGTGTACCTGTACAGGCAAGTTTAATGTTAGCAAATTTATTTGTTAATAAGGAAAATAGCCAAAATGTGGCAGGCTAGGTTATTTTCCATTGCAAAAGAGATATTAGCCAGATGTCTTATTATTTTATTCTAGGTACTTTGCAAAAATAATCTTAAACTGAATAGTTATTTCAAAGTTAATAATAGATTGTATTTAACCCTTATGAATATGGCTTCATGACAAAGCAGGGAACAAGGGTTCAAGATTTTTAGAGTTGGTATTCATCAGTGTTATTGTATATAACTTTATCTATGTCATTTCTCCCTGGTACTTCACTTTATTACCTTATGTATATATTGAACCTTTATTTTGAGATAAACTTTTCTGTGGAAAATTTCTATCTAATCTATTAAATGATTTCTATAAAAGACAATAGCAGTTTTAAAGATTCCTTAGTATAATTTTCTATACTAATGAAAAGTAAGCTTTTCAGTTATAGTTACCAATAGAAATAGCCAACAGATACCATGGTTTGTGATATACCATTTAGGTTGAGTTTTGGAAAGGGAAAAATGAGTTTTATATAGAAAATCCTGATCAAAACAATGTAATTCTTTCCCTAGTTTTTGCTGCCATTAAAAAAAAAAATCCAAGAACCATCAACTTTCTTTAAATTGTAGAATATTCACAGGATCATAGAGAACAGCCCTCAAAGGCATGAAACAGAAGATCCTTGAGCAGCAATTTGAATCTTTCCCTCTGCACCCACACGTGTAATACTAAAATACAAGCAGTATTGTTTCAGCTTAAAATTCTATCCTCAGTGTTTATGGATTAGATAAAAGCCAAAGAAAGTTAATATTGATACTTTCTCATAGTTATTGAGGTATATATGTAAATTTCACCATTAAAATAATTAAATGATTATTGTTCCTATATTGCAGTTCTTTGGAGGCTGGTACTTCTACATTCAGGCTTACAAAGCAATGAAGCATAAGACTGCGAATATGGATGTACTGATTGTGTTGGCAACTACCATTGCATTTGCCTACTCTTTGGTTGTTCTTCTGGTTGCAATGTATGAGAGAGCAAAAGTGAATCCTGTTACTTTCTTTGACACACCTCCTATGCTATTTGTGTTTATTGCACTAGGTCGGTGGCTGGAACATATAGCAAAGGTAAAGTAAGAAAGATGACATTTATTTAAATCATAAGTGGATAAATGACCATAAAATTTATAAACTAATTATTGGAAATGTACATTGGTTTATGTAGCTAACCATTTATTGAAAGAAATATTTTTGTTTTGGCAATATATTTGTTGAATTTTCCTTTAGAAGATTTACCGTATCTATGGAATATGGAGATAGTGAAATATGTGTATGTTTGTTTTAAGAGAGAGAGACAAATGACAAGTACCTGTAATTTATCATCTATCACATTTTTAGTTGAAAAATTGATGTGACAGTAAGGTTTAAAGTAATGATGGAAAATTCACCCATATAGTCCCATGCTATAACGTAAATTATTTTCTAATCTCCGCATACCTTTATATTATAAAGAGTTGCAAACTAGATACATACTACTTTTTACATTTAACATTGTAACATTTTTCCATGCTTATTATTATCTAGATCATTATTTGATATTTCTGACTATTAATCTGTCAGCGTGCTATAATTTACTAAACTAGTCTTGTTTTGTCCTCAAATTATTTCCAATTTTTATTTTAGATAATCCTGCATCAAATATTGTCATGTCTAATAGTCATTTGTATTGAACTAGTATCTTAGGAGGGAGCTCTGGTGGCATAGTGCCTAAGGCATTTGACTGCTCACCAGAAGGCTGGCTTGCCCACCAGCCACTCCTTGGAAGGAAGATCGGGCAATCTACTTCTGTAGTGATACCGCCTCGGAAACCGAAGGAGGGGTCACTACAGGTTGGATCTGACTTGATGACAGTGAGTTTAGTATCTTAGGATAAATCACACAGGATGTGACTACTGGATTAAAGGACATAAATCCTTCTATGGTTTATGCTTCAAGTTGTAACAATTTTTCAGGGCCAGCACGACTATGTCAATGAACTCATTTTGACTATGACTTCATTCTTCCTAAATTAGTGGGTATTAAATGATATTTCAGGGTTGCTTTCATTTATGTTTCTTCTATGAGTCGGGGCCGACTCGACGGCACATAACAACAACAACAACAACAACAACATAAGTAACAGGGATAAGCATTTTTCCATGCATTGGGTATTAATATTTCCTCTATTGGGTTCCTGGTATTTTTCTTATTAATTTATTTCTTTATAAATTATACCTAGTAAAACTTTAAAAATATTTTGTGTAGTTCATATTTTTGAAGTTAAAAATTTTCTGACTTGAAAAAAAAATTAACATTCTTAAATCCATCTTTTGGGTAAATGCTGAAGATTATATCTTAATTGTAGTTAATGCCAGAACTTTTTCTTCCTTAGCATTGTAAACACATTTGTTTTAATTTCTAGGGCAAAACATCTGAGGCTCTTGCGAAGCTAATTTCACTGCAAGCTACAGAAGCAACTATTGTAACCCTTGACTCTGATAATATCCTCCTGAGGTATTTGTCTTCATTCTTACACCCCTCTCTCTTTGAACTTGTGATTCAAAATTTCAAATATACACAGAAGTTGAGACAAGAGTATAATGAACTCTTATAATCTACCTCTCAGATTTAAGATTATCCACATTTTGCCATACTTTCTTCATCTATCTGTCTTTCTTCATTGAGGCTGCAGTATTTTAAAGCAAATTAAGGACATGTTCATATATAACTATAATACTATATTACACCTAACATAATTAAGAGTAATTCCATAATATCATCTGGTAACCAGTTCATACTCATATTCCTCCAGTTGTCTCTGGACTATTTCTTTAAGTCTCTTTCTTTGAAAAAAAGTTGTTTTTGTTTTTTTTTTAAAAAAAGTCCACGCATTTAACTCTTGTGCCTTTTAGGTCTCTTTTAATTTAGGACAAACAGTTCCTCTCTCACTCTCTCATTCTTTCTCCAAATAACTTATTTGTAAAAGAAGCATCCATCAGTTGTCCTGTAGAATGTCTCACAATTTGGATTTGTCTCCTTGCTTCATTTAACTTGTTCTTTTTTTTTTTTTTTTTTTTAAAGATATTCCCGGGGTCTTCTTCCTGGGGCCTTTTCTGTCTCCCTGGGAGGGTTTCTTCACCTCCAGGGCTATCACTAAGGGTCAACCAGCCAGCCAGTTATTTAACTTGTTTTTCCTCTCTTGTGTTACTTGTAATCTGGGAGTAGAGCTGAAGGCTTGATTAGATTTAGTTATTTTATATCTCTCATTTTTATATTCATTAACTTGTTTAGGCAAATTAAAAAACCAAAGATCAAACTTGCTGCTGATGAGTCAATTCTGATTCATAGCGACCCCATGTGTTACAGCGTAGAACTGCACCATAGGATTTTGTTGGCTGCAGTCTTTACAGAGGCAGATAATCGGGCCTTTCTTCTGTGGCAGTCCTGGGTAGGTTAAAATGGCCAACCTTATTTATTTTATTTTTTATTGTGCTTTGGGTGTAAATTTACAAAAAAAAAAATTGTTTTATATTCAACAGTTCATGAACATTTGATTTTGTGGCCCCGTTACCATCCCCAACCATAAAAAACTCTCCTTCCCTCCGTGTGATTACCCTCTCTCTGTGCTCTTCTTAACTATGCATTCCTGTTTGTCCAGCTTTCCCTCTATGTGAATGCTGCCCCTCCGGTGTCTCATGTGTGATTGATCTAAGAGGTGTATCTCCCTAGAGTAGGTGGGTGCATTGCCCTGGGGTAGGTGTTCTGCATATAGATCTTTCTACTGTTGGGTTGAGAGCCAATTCATGGAAGTGAGTTCACTTCTAGGCCCGAAGGGTAGCCTGGGGCTGTAGTCTTGGGGGTTCCACCGGTCTCTATGCGACCAGTAATTCTGGTCATTTTTGTGTTTTTGAATTTTGTTACATATTTTTCCAACCACTCTATCCAGGATCTCCAATTTTGATCCCTTTCTGAGTGATTGGCATTGGTAGTTGAGCACCATCTAGTTCTTTTGGTCTCAGAGTCATAAAGGCTGAGGTCCTTATTGTCCATCTTATCCTTGGACTAATTGTTTCCAGATGCCTTTGATTTTCTTCATTCTTCTTTACTTCTGATGAGAGGAGACCGATAGTTGCATCTTAGATGGCTGCTTGAAAGCTTTTAAGACCCCAGGGGCTACTGCAGCTGTGGTCCTGAGTCTGCAGGCCCAGTGATTCTCTCTCTTAAGATGTTTGTTTGTCTCTGAGAAATTACTCTAACTCTGTTTTCTGTTGCCTCTGTAATGTATGTGAGAACTGCCAACCTTTAGAGTAGATCAGTAGTTGAGCATAAACCGTTTGTGCCACCCAGAGACCTTAAGTAAATTTACACAATAAATAGTTTGATTAAATAAAACCCATTACATTATTTTTTAAAAAGCTTCCATTTATTTGTTTAATGACTAACAAATATGTAGAGTACCAACTTTGTGCCATGAGGCATCGGTGATTCATTGGTAGAATTCTCACCTCCATACAGGAGACCCAAGTTTGATTCCTGGCCAATGTACCTCATATGTAGCCACCACTTGTCTGTCAGCAGAGAATTGCATGTTGTTATGATGCTGAACAGGTTTCCGTGGAACTTCCAGAATAAGACAGACTAGGAAGAAAGGCCTGGTAGTCTACTTCTAAAAATCAGCCAGTGAAAACCCTATGGATCACAATGGTCCAGTCAGTTTGGACAGTGTTTCATTCCTTTGTGCATGAGGTTAACATGAGTGGGGGGATGACTTTATGTCGACTAACAACAATAAATTTGTGCCAGGTCCTGTGCTGTTCACCAGTAGTGAACAGGACAGACATAGTAGTTCCTAGCTTAAAATATTAATTCTGGCTTCTCTTTGTAGTAATTATGGAGCTACATACTTTTTATGTTAATTTATTTCCAGTGAAGAACAAGTGGATGTGGAACTTGTACAACGTGGAGACATCATTAAAGTGATTCCAGGAGGCAAATTTCCAGTGGATGGTTGTGTTATTGAAGGACATTCTATGGTAGATGAGTCCCTTATCACAGGTATGTTCTTTCAGTGGATCAATGACATGAAAGTGAAGTGAATCCAGGTTGTTAATGAAAAATGGCCATGAAAGGTGAAGAGCTTTTTATAGAAACTATGGAATGTGTAAATGATGAGCAATGAGAGAACATGAGTTATGATTTAATTTGTGGTTGTGGTTATGCTATTGAAGGCCCTTGTCACTGAGAGTCATTAATTACTAGTTAGTATAAGCAAAAGAAGTTGTCTCAGTCTGCTGTAGAGTCTGATAAACTTTGGCATATTTTCTTGGGCACATTACCTGTTCTGTCTTCCTTTCCTAAAAATTGGTCTAGTCTGAGCCATGACAGGACTCCAGGCTTCCCATGTCAGGGTGTGCTCTAAGAGTGTAAGCCTAGAGTAGTCTTAGAGATCTTAGATAACTAAGGTCAGTCTGGAATAGAATCTAAACAATACCTTTCCTACCTCAACCCTCAGGATAGTCCTAGAATAAGTTCATTTTACAGACCATATAGAATTAATTTGTTGTTGTTGTTGTTGTTAAGTGCCGTCGAGTCATTTCCGACTCATAGCGACCCCATGCACAGCAGAACGAAACACTGCCTG